TAAAGCAGTTTGAGATGAGTTGTTGTGAATTGGCACTATAGAAATAAAGTAAAAACTGAAACTAGTCTATACATAGAACGTAGTCCTAGATAAGTGGTTTTGTGTTTCTTTTGTATAAAAGCTCTGCATTTTTAAACCACAAGTTTTAACATGGCGAGTGCGTTGACATCATATGATTTGAGGCTAAATAAGTAAACTGAACTGAACTAAATAATTTTAAAGAAGGAGGCATTTGGGGGTTACTCTAATTGTGGAAACAAGTTCTTCCTTTATGTCAGAAACTGTTAGACTGAAACTCTCAGACTGTTTTGGAATGTATGTCTTGACGGCTGATGTTGGCTTTTACCTGGAGTTCCATCATAACTCAAACCCATGTCTCCCTCTTCTCCAGGATCTCCATCACAACCTTTAGCTCCTGCAGGAGGAGAGGAAACTCTCAGCTCTCAGCTCAGAGACGAGGCAGTTGTGTAATGTATTTGACTTGAATATAGAGGCACCTTTGAGGCCAGGCATTCCTGGAGGACCAGTCTGTCCCTTATCTCCTTTAGGCCCATCCGGTCCTGGAAAACCTATATAACCTTTAGGACCCAGAGGACCTGGGAAACCTGTAGTGGGAGACAGGTAAGCATTAAGTTGGAGTTAAAGGTGAGGAGATCGGTGTCTTAGATGATGCGTACCTGGTATTCCAGGGTCTCCCTTCTGCCCTTGGGGACCAGGGATTTGAGGGATGCAGGGAGGACTGTCACCTGCAGGTAAAGGGAAAGCAGCCTTTTCAGGGATAGATTTTCTTTTATACGGTTTCCTCCTTTAAAATCTCTGTATGGAATGAATTTTGGTCCATTCTTGTTGCAAGCAAAGAACACATTTTGCAAATGGAAAGTTGAAGAATATGAGAGGTTCCAGAGGTGAAACGATTAAAATTTTCTTTACCTAATGTAATCAGATTTCCTTTTCAAAAAATCCCTTTTTCACATTCTATTGTTTCAAATTAGTATTTTTTTTATTCAATATTTTACATTTTTCAAATTTGTAGTTTTTAGATTGAGTTTACAATTTGCATTTTTTTCCCAACATGTGCTTTACATAGCGCATTCTCTGCACTTAAAGCCCAGTACTCTTGAAGTGCATTGTCCAACAAAAATATTGTTGCAGACCAATAGAAATGCATCTGCCCTTCTCACTCAAGAGGAAAGCTCGCTTCCAGAAGTGAAGAGAATGTGATCTCTAAAACCTAATTTTAAAAAGAATTCAATTTAAAACACCAAAATAGATCTGAATAAACATTTGAAAAATATAGATTAAAAAAATTATGAAAAAAGTAAAACAGTAATTTACAAGCTCTAGTAATCATGAAATTTTAATGTTGCACTACATTACCCATGATGCACCTGTTTGTTAGAGACTGTGTGTGTGTTTGTCTGTCTGTCTGTGTACAGGATAACTTGAAATGTTATGAACAGATCTTAATGAAATTTTGGTAAATTTTGGTACTGATCAAGATCCTAATCTGCATACATAATTTTTTTTTTTCTTTAAGGTTCTCTAACATTGTGAGATATTTGCCAAAACAAGCAGTTCCCCACTAAACTAAACTAGTTTAAATTAAACTAAATAGTGACTATTCACAGCCTAGACATCGGTTTCAAAAAGTGCAGAGGTATTTTACTGAATTCAAGTACACAAGAAAAGGGAACATTGCTGGTTGCTTAGCAGTTTCAATTGAATATATATATATATATATTCTTGAGAGGTGTCCCTCATGCAAAAAACTATTCATTTAAATTAAGAAATGATCCAGATGTTGTGCAGGTTTATGGAAAAACGCTGCTTGGCAGAGTTCTGCACTCGCCGAGTGCTTTTCTAGTTTATGGTTTCACTCGACCTCAACTCGACCAGCGGATCATTTCATGATTTCCTAAGTGTGGCTCAGACCCATAAGCGTAGCATCCATTGAGCAGGAATTGTCCTCCCTGCCAGTGCTTTGTCAGTCTTGTATGTATGAGAATTTTGGATTTATTACGATGTAATAACAGTTTCTCTTGCCATAAAATTTGTTTTTTACTTCAGTTAATGACCAAGGTGGTGTAATAGTCGTTGTATTTATTTGCTGCTGCAGAGCCTGAGGTGGTGTAATAACACATGGTCTAAAAATGCTATTTAATATCTAAGATGTGCTTTCAAACCAAATATATGCTCTGTGCTAATATAACTTTGATGTAATATATATTTTCATGCAGTTATTTTAGGCCTTTTTTCCATGTAGCTGGTGTATTTTACAGAACATTCATGGGTGATGCTAGACTGCCCCCTACGGGATTTTCAATGTTACAACAGGTCAATTTTTATTATGGAAAGTTGTGGTTTAGCTATGTGGTTATTTGAATATATTCTATAACCGTTTCTGTTTCCGATAACCACTCAGGTCTCGACACAATCAGATAAATAAATCAAATATAAAGAACTCCCATCTGCTATCAGTGCCTGTTGGACACTCATTACAAAGAAACACATTAAAAAGTACTGAGCCTGCTGATCAACACATTTTAGACAGCGTTTTATTACCTGGTTAAATCAGCTTTGCTAAGGCGATCAAGGACTACATTTAGGGTTGTAATGGGACTGTAATTACAGTCCAAAAAAACAACAAAGACGTTACAAATAAAGTATATGACTTAATGGTTGCTCCAGATTCTCTAAGTCAAAATGACTTGATAATGTTGTCACAAAATGTACCAACATCTAAAGAATTATCACAACTATATTCCAACACTTTCAATACGCTCACATTATTTTAATATTTGAGAAGATAAGTTATTATTTTCAGATGAATCTGTGTTGGGGTTTATATTACATCTAATAATTTTTACATCTGATTTCACCATCAACTTTACCTTTAACCCCCTTTTGCCCCTTTGGTCCAGGAAATCCTACAAATCCTGGATTTCCAGGGGGCCCACGCTCTCCAACGGCCCCAAACACACTGCTTCCTCTGCGACCTGGTGGTCCTAAAATTCCCTTTTGTCCAGGGTATCCTTTGCAGCCTCTGTCTCCAGGAAAACCAATGAGACTTTCCCCCTGAAAACAATCAGATTCATCAATGACAGGTTAAGCTCTAGACCAGGTAAGTAATCACACTGAGCAGAGTGGATCGGACTCAGCCTCTCCATGGCTGACCTCAATTCCTGGATTACCAGGTGGTCCCGGGGGACCAGGTAATCCATTTCTTCCTGAGAATCCTCGTGTTCCTTCAGGGCCTAAATCACCCATATTTCCCTTTTCACCTGGAGATAAGATTTGGGACAGAATGATGATTCATTCCCTAATCAGGCTTCCATAATACATCATACAGCAATGGTGAAAATCAGAGATAGCCAAAGTTCAGCACCCAGATAAAGACATGAAACTGTATTGTTGCACAAAATACTATTGTTGGTATGTTAAGCGTATCCCATATTATGT